GTGTGTGTGTGTGTTTTGTGTGCATAAGTGAGAGGAGAGAGATTAACCCCATGCTATCACCAATCCCTGGTTATGAGTTTACAGCGTCTGTCTGGCCATCTCACTGTTTAAACAACAATCTAATTAATCCTGTCTTTATTAGTTTCAGTGAACTGGGGAGGCAGGCTTGGAGGGCATGAGGGAAAACTGGGAATGCTGGCAGAAAAGGCTGAAGGAGGGGGAGGAAACCAAGTGCAAGAACAGGGATTTGGGAGGAATTTGAAGTCAGAGACTTGGGCCCTGTGAATGTAAATAGGCACTGGAAGTAATTGTGAAGCATGAGAGCAATTGAAAGGTTATAACATCACAGAGGGGGAGAAACAGAGGAACAAAAGAAAAATAGGAAAATAAATGGATCCAACAAAGACCTAATTTACAGAGTAGCATATGTATTTTTAAGATTATGGTTTGTATAAGGTTACCTGGAATGTAACAAGTTCTCAACATTTAAGGCTTGTGCTGGAAAATGCAGTAGATTATCAACCAACTACTGCCACCTACTGTCATTAGGGAGAAACCAAAACACAAAACTGTTGGAAGCAATTGTTACTCATCTTAACAGATGTTCACCTTGTTGCTCTGTGAATTGAGTAATGCCTGTGCAGTCTTTAATTAAGAGGCTTCACTCATCTACATGTTAATTGCAGATGAGGGTAAATATATTAGAGATCCTTGTTTGTATCTTCAAATTGAATTGCCTTAACTGCCTTTCTGCTTTCACACATCAACCAATCTGAACGCATACGGGCACGTTTCTCTGCTTCTTTCTACTTTCAGGCTCTTTATAAGGAAGTGCAGCGCTTGCCTGCAGGTCATTGGACGCTCTGAGCTGATAATGCGTGTGCTGGGCCAGGTATACCACCTGGGCTGCTTCAGCTGCTGCGAGTGTGAGCGCCGACTGCAGAGAGGTGATGAGTTTGTGTTGAAAGAAGGCCAGCTGCTCTGCCGCATGGACTACGAAAAGGAGAGGGAAATGCTTGCTGCGATTAGTCCTGCTCCAACTGAATCAGGTGCAGTGTTTGATGGAAAACTGTTTAACTTGTGCCACATCTATCTAATAGAAATCACAATAGAACGTATTTCTCCGAAAAATTCTGATGGCTCTTTGTAAACACGTAGCCCTGCCACATTTTACCAAATAACCAAGTAATATGATGGGGAATAAAAGAATTCAAGCTTGTGTCAGGTCACAAGTAATTGTAAAGAGATTATCCAAATAGTGATACACCACAAAACTGCCTTGCCGAGCACACCGCACTGGGGTTTAAGTTTGAGCTTTGTCAACACTTTGTCTTATTCAGTGAAAAGTGAGGATGAAGATGGTGGGGGAGGATCTGGCAGTGGGAAAGGTGGTGATGAAGGCAAAGAGCACAAGCGTTCAAAAAGACCACGCACCATCTTGACTACACAGCAGCGGCGAGCTTTCAAGGCCTCTTTTGAAGTATCGGCCAAGCCATGCCGAAAGGTGGGTGAATCAGCCTCTTATCAGTGAAAAAGCATGCCAAACAGACCTCGACTTTCCTTTCAGAGTTCATTGTTTTATCCTCGGTTGTCCGAAAAGCACTGAAAAACTCTAACCTGTAGGTGAGGGAAACACTGGCTGCAGAGACTGGCCTGACAGTGCGGGTTGTCCAGGTGTGGTTTCAAAACCAGAGAGCTAAGGTCAGACTGTCTCTTCCTTGAAGATATGTACAATCACTTTACATGTCAACACCCATAGGAGATTCTTAGGGTATCCTATTTTGTGCCCTAGATGAAAAAGATAGCTCGCAGACAGCAGCAACAGCAGCAGCAGCAGCAGGAACAAGAACAACTGGGAGGGAGCAGGAGAGGGCCTAGCAGAGGGGGCCGTCAAAGCAATGACGACAGTGAGGGTAAGAGAAAGATTTAGAAAAAGGCAGACAAAAAAAATGTAGCATTTAAAATGAACCTCTACCTTTCCAGATGGATCTAGTACTCATGGAATGGATAGCATGCTGGGATATCCATCTTTGCCACGTCAGCAGCTACTTTCTCTGGACCCCAACATTTACGGCGGAGAGCCATTCCGACATGGTCTGACACCTCCTCAACTAAACAGTGAGCAGATCCACTCCTACGGTAAGACGCACTGATAAAGCCTCAAGCTTGATTTACATTTTCATTCTTTAAAGTCATTTCTGACATCCTTTTTTAGTATAACTGAAAAAGACAAATGTTGACCACATATATTTGGATTCTCCTCTTTCTTTTTGCTGCAGACTCAGAGACGGTCTTCCATGACTTGGACAGCGATGGAAGCCTCAGTCACCTTGGTGACTGTCTCTTGGCAACAGGAGAAGCCGGTCTCCTGGCAGGACGAGTAGGAAACCCCATCGACCGTCTGTACTCCATGCAGAACTCGTACTTCACCTCCTGACCCTTAAAAACTCTCATCTTTACCCCACCTGTTCCACCTTTCACCCCCTGAGAAGCAACCTGCCTATGGGACTATTTTCAATTAAACTGGCTGCAGCCAAACATACTCCTGAGCTTTTATTGCTGGAAAACATCCTCACAAGTCAGACGGTTATAACATCACTCTGCTGATTAGCATAATGTCCTCTCGTGCTTTCCTGAATAAGAATCATATGCTGGAACTACGGGCACTGTAAATTTCCATGATAATGGCCTTCTATTTTTTCCATCGTATTTATGCCATACTCGGTGAGAATATTTCACTTCGCTTTGAGACAGAAAAACAATAACCACACATCGATCATTAAATATAAATAAGTTACAGAATTTTAATGAATCAAGTCAAGTTAAATGTATGTAGGAGTTGTGGTAGTTTTAAACATTCGGGGTTCTAAATACTATTAGTACATTGGTGAACTTTCTTTGTTCTGTCTGGATTCATTTTTATCGGTGTGTGTGGTTGGCTGGAGCATATACAAGAGTATATGTATGGGACTACAGTTTTGCTCTCAGGTTAGTGTGTATGTTTGTGAGACCTGAGTGTCATCTCAGGAAATTGTGCTGGATAGAATGACATCTTTAAATCCCCTAATATTTCTAATTGTATGTTTTTTGACAAATGACAGCTAAAAAACTGTGGACCAAAAATAAATTACTTTTGCATTTAGAAAATAGATGACCGTCCAGTGTCATTTGAAAAGCCTTAAGTGGAAACAGGGTTGTATAAGTGCTCATTACTTTAGTTTACGCTTTTATATCATCGGTAAAATTTTAGTGTAGTAAATTACAACCAAAAGATCTACAATGCCCAAAACCTAGGTCTTCAAGTCCACAATGATGAATTCCAATTGTAAATGTGAATACAACTGTGTCACACCTAATTGTTGCAATCAGTTTCTGTAATAATTTCCTTTGTCAAAAATATCCTCATAGATACTGTTGGGTAGACATTTTGTACCTTCTGTGATAATCAGCAAATATTTAAACTATAGCATGATATTTGTGTGCCACAAAGTAGATCTATAGAAATAGAATCCAATTTTATTTTGGATAGCAAGTGCTGCTGAAAGGATCGGAGCAGACTCATCCTGTGGCACAGCACAAAAAAGAATTAAGGTGATACCCGTCTCATTTAAATGTCAGTGATCTGCCGAAGCCTGGGGTACTCTTTAAGAAATTGTTTGATTCTAATAATACATGGCGTTTTTACTGTGATACTAATGTGAATGTAACTTATTTGTGTGGTACTAGATGACATTTTATCTATTTTGTTCAGTGACAGCAAGGTGATGTGCTTTGAATTTAATGTTCATGTATCTTTCAACACAATCTGCGGTTTTACCTTTAAAGTAAAACTGCCTTATTTGTCCTTAATACAATAAATAATGAAAGACTTACCAATCGCTCACGTGGCATGAACTAATAATTCACCTAAAAATAAAGCAATCTATTTCTCCTCCATGACTCACACCAAAACCTTTAATAATTGAACCAGAAAATGTCTGTTCTGCTTAATGGTCACAAGGTTCATAACTCAATTTCCTCCCTCTGTCTGTCTCAGTAGTCCTGCTGATTAGAGGTGAATAACCTGTTCTTTTTTCTCCTATCTTCCCAAACTCCCTATTGCTCAGTGACCGGATAGTCAGGTTTGTGTGGGAGCAATGCATTCCAGTTTAATATTTGACTATGACCTGGAAAAGGCATCAGCAGTAAGGACATAAATAATCAACATAAAATAACAGAGGGTTATGACATCAAATGAATAATGGAAACCTAATATTAATTAAGTAAAACTGGGGTACACAAAACATTGCAAACCTGACTTATTTATTCAAACGCAAGGATACGTGATATTCAAATGGTGTAATGTACAGTGCTAGAGCATTCCTATTTTTTTTTTTACATTTGAAATCAGTCACAATAGGTCACAGTAAGACGAACAGATATTGAACACTCACCACATATATATATATATATATATATATAAATTCAAATAAACACAGTTGACACATAAAAATCCAGCTTGTGTAGAGGTTAGGTCTGACGATGGAAGTTGCTGAATCCTACGATGTGTCAGAACTTGAATCAGAAGCTAGGAATAAAAGAGCAGAGATTGGCATAATTGTTAAAAAAATGTGGAATTTGATTCAATTTTCCAACATGGTAATTGTACATGGTTAACCCCCTTAGTATCAACAAGATGGGGTTACAGTATAACCTTGAACAGTCAAAACAAAGTAATACTGAATAATGACCTAAATTTGGAGTTGACTTGCATTTTCATAATTCTAAATCATAAAAACAATATAAATCCATGTGACATACAGTACATATAGAGACATTTCTCATCATTAGAGGGTTAATGGAGTTGTGTCAGAGAAATATTTTACAGCACAGTTTGCACAAATATATCTAAAACGTTTTATGATCCAGTGTTTATGCGGGACCTTTGCTATCTAAAAGATGATGATAAAAAGGAATTGCCCTTTTTGCTATCTGAAAGGGCAATTCCAGTAAAGTCTTACCCACGCTGCTGAGGTCAACGGAGTCTGCACAGCCTAGAAAGCGGGTCACGTGTGGCGAACAAGAGGTAGGTGAGGTCAGGTTTTCTTTCAGACATTGCTCAAATTTCTCAAATTCTGTGGAGCAGTCTTCCCTGATCTTCTGGATCACTGGACTGTAAACATTAAATGGTCAGGCACAAGGAAAAACGTATAGGTATATAGGATAGATCAATTGACTTACTGTGATGATGTACACTGAGAAACCTTGAGTTTTAGGTCATGGCACTTGTGTTGCCAAGACGTTGGATTTGAGGCAACGCATGACCCATATGTCTCCAGTTCTTTATAACAGTACTTTGCTGATATTTCCATAGCTGCTTGCCTGAAAGGAAACATAATTATATAAACAGTGGTAAGTGGCGGGTCAATCTTATCTATCAATTTGACAACGTGCTAAAGCAGCAGAACTCTAAACGGAGCATTGTGGTGTAATATTACTAATGTAATCCATTATTTCAATTCTTACATGTTGGTGTTTGAAGCTGTGTCGAATCGACTACGGAAGCGTGACAAACAAGGTTAAACGACCACTACTTCAGCGTGTGGAAACGAAGTCTATGCTATTAAGAGCTACAACACGCACACCCATATTTGATTGGAAGGAAAAGCAACGTCCTAATGATGTTCTTCAATTTTGTTGGGGCAGGTTTGTGTCTGTCATGCATGTAGGTAACGCCCCTACAGTGACGTTTTTTATTTAAAGGGGCAGTAATTTAGTCGCACGAAGAACTACTTTGTATTTTTGAATTTAGATTGTTTTGACTTTACTCTAGATGTCCTGTAGCAGAGAAAATACATGCTTATTTTAGCTTGTGAAACGCCACCCGATTAATATCGCTGTAAATCAAGGAGTAACCCATACACGTTTTAAATTTGTGTTTTAATTATATCAGAAAGCACAGCTTAATACGTTTCTTTTAATTTCTTGTACTTTAGTTACCGTACTAAAATCTACGATTCTCCAACTTCTTTGTTTTATTTGTTTCCTTTTTACGTTTCCCTGTGTTTATTAATTTTATTTATTCCAACTTATATTGAAAAATAACTGCAGAAAGCAACCTGAAATATTACTAATTTGGAAACCTCAGTAATGTAAAGGCGTTTTGAAAAAAAAAAAAAAAAGAAGATAAAAAGCAAGTTGGAGGTAAACTGACGCTCTTTAAATATGACGTGTCTTTGCGTATTTGCGTATGCGGAAGCAGCGGTCGGGAAACAGTCAACTCAAAAGACGGGCTCTCAAAGGTGGATAACACACCGCTTCGTGCGTAGAATCGTATTTTTAACGACTGTAGCGAGACGGGGTGGTGGTGGATGGTAGAGGGGGCCAAAGGAGGGATTCGGATACAATGAACGACGCCAAGAAAGACGAGAGTATGGCTGCAGACGGAATCCGAGGACCGGGTGAGCTACAAATGGCCCCCTCTGTTAACCACAACCAGAATGACAGCGGCGCCGGTGATGAGCTAGTAAGCTCGGTGACGCTGTACAGACGGAGGCCCCGACTGCTACACGGCACTGTCCTCCCGTTTCTGGCTGTTCTCTACCCTGGCTGGGTGTACGTGTGGTTAGGAGTGTACGGTGCCTCGGAGTATCCAGAGGCAGGCCTCCTCGCGTTAGCCGCTATCGGGATCGCGCACGTCCTCACAGCACTCTCTGGATACTGGTCCGTGCACGTGCATTGTTGGCTCACTTGTTCCAAGGTAAATGCAAGTTATAGCAAATTATGTGCACTTTTACAGCAGATAGTCCAAAAACATCCTACCTATTTTTTTAGCTCAATAAAAAAAATCTCACATACAGTATAATGAGATTTTCTCTACTCCTGAACATGTCAAATAGCACATGTATTAGTGCTGGCTGTATTTTAAGGTTTCTATGCATCACGTAATGTTTTATAAATTTTTTGACTTTATGTATACATTGTCTATAAATAGTACTTATCCAAAATATTCTCCTTTCGAGTGTTCTCTTTCAGATGTCCACAGAGTTTGTACTGATTAGTAAACATTTGCTTGGTGATAACCAATGAAAATGAAAGAAACATTACAGTTATTAATCCTATGTCAAATTTATATATTTTGATATATTTGTATCTTTGATGGTTGACGGACAGAATGGCATTCTGGGAAACTGAAGTTCTTGTTATGACTTCAAATACCAGAATAATCAATATCTGTCTTAAAGATCCTGTTTATTATAAATTTACTAGCATTGGAAACCAACATCTGTTATGAAACAAATAGTCAGAAGGTAACAGATCTTTTAAATTACCCAACATTGAACAAATACAGATCTCATCAAAACTTTTGCTGAAAGGCATGTTGAGTTCATCATCCTCATCATTCCTCTGTTTAGGGAAAGTTTAGCTATTTTCTCTGTATATCAGCGGGTTGTGATGAGTATATCATTAGGGTGCTCCAAAAATAAAAGTGCTGTCCCAACAGCATGTGAATATATCATCTGTTTTCTTTCTTTAAATAAAAACAGGAGCCAGATCCCAAGCTGGCTACTCTGGCAAAGGTCATTCCCACCCCTAACAATGGTTCTGCTGAGCTTGTCACACTCCAGAGGGATCAGGTTTGTTCACATCTTTAAAGACTGATTTCCCTATGTTGTCATATTTGGAAATATGTTACTTCCCTAAAATGCTCAAATATAGTGTGACAAGGTTTGTGAAAGCCACACCTGCCATTACTGTTTATCAAAGATCTACGTGCTTAGAAATTTGGCTTTATTTATCTGGAAGTTGTTAGGTTAATTTAGATATTGGTTTTGAATTTTATCTATTACTTGGATGTTTTTTTTTTTGTTTTGTTTTTTTGCCACTGCAATATATTTTTTTAAACATATGTCCTATGTTTTGATCAACAGGATGAAAATGGGGAAAAGATCTTATCTTTTGAGTTTCAAAAGATCCGTTACATTTTTGACTACCAAGAGAAGAAATGTTTCCTTCCAGTGGCATTCCCCATTAACCACCCAATAGGCCACTTCCAGTCATGGCGTGGATACCAGGAAGAAACTGAGCTAAAGGCTGCAGAAAAGCGATATGGCGCCAATCGTGCAGATATGGTTGTGCCAGATTTTCTGGAGCTCTTTAAAGAAAGAGCAACAGCTCCTTTTTTCGTCTTCCAGGTACGTGTGTTTCTTTTTCCTGGAATTGGTCTGGGTTCATTAGTCAGGAAGAGAAAATGTAAATGCTTTGCATCAGTTTGATGTTATCTGCCCTTTGTCCATCAGGTTTTCTGTGTGGGGCTGTGGTGTCTGGACGAATACTGGTATTACAGTGTTTTTACTCTGTTCATGCTGGTTGCATTTGAGGCATCCCTGGTCCAACAGCAAATGAGGAATATGTCAGAAATACGCCGCATGGGAAATAAGCCCTATATGATCCAGGTAAGCTTGATCAAGTTTAAAATGCATTCTGTTGCTAATTTGGTCATAAGAACTTTATAGTGAAATGATCAAGTTCACTTATGCAACCAACAGAGTTTGATGAAGAATGAAAAGTCACACATGTATCCAAATTGAATTGAAAAAGACATTTTATATTAGGCCATTTAATAGTGCTGAGGGACTTTTTCCATTGGCTTCATGAAGAGAGGTCAGACCTTTAAAACATATTTTATCCAAATTTCAGAGCTCAGTCTGTTTTCCATAAATAATGTGATATCCCTAGCATATCAAAATAAGTGTATTTACGTTTTTGATAGGTGTATCGCAACAGGAAATGGAGACCTATTTCTAGTGATGAACTAGTTCCTGGAGACATTGTCTCCATAGGTGAGTGTGCAGTCCTAAATGTTATGACTCCTTACCTCAAACCTTACATTCATTTTCTGTGTTGAAATGTGTGTTTTCTATTCTATAGGACGCTCACCCCAAGACAACTTGGTACCCTGTGATGTGCTGCTTCTCAGAGGACGTTGCATTGTGGATGAAGCCATGCTGACTGGAGAGTCTGTCCCACAGATGAAGGTTAGTAAATAATATAGTGATGTGGTAAACTATTTGCTTCAGTACAGATTTTTACTGTTTTTGCTGCGTCTAAATATTTCAGAGCAACAAACAATGTCATAATTAGACGGACAAACTCAGTAAAAAAAAAAAAATACAAGATGGTATTTAAAATGTTAACTGCCTTGTTAAATTATAAATTAAATTTATAAGCCCCGCATTTAGAAAGTTGAGTTCAGTTTCACTAGCCACACTCAAGTCTGATTGCTTCCACACCACACTATTTCTCAAATAGAAAATTCTGATGAGATACAATGGGATAAAGGCGACAAATCATGTCTTGATTTAAAAAAATGTTAAGAATGGATCAGAAATCCATTTTGGGACTCGACCAAACCATAGTGAGAGACATTTTTCCTTCCGAATTGATGGACACAAAAAACTTTCTTGATCTACCAAGATAACTCTTAAAGGTGCCTCAGTGCATACCCTGGAGGTCACATAGGTCGTCACTTGTCTCTGTTGAGGTCAGTTTTCATGAAACAACAAGAAGAACAAGCCTGTCTGGCACATCTGGATGCTTGGGAATCTCTGTGGCTGCTCCAACCCAAAAGCACCAACAAAATTGTTGCCTATTTCACCAGTAGCATTTGGGAGTAGAGTAGTAAAAATTTAGACTGAAATCTAATTGAGATGCTTCTGCATGCCCTAAAACCTGCATTCCCTGAAAACCAATGTAGCTGAATTAAAACTGAATTGTTGTCATTAGCTGAATTAAAAACAAATGGGCAAAACATTCTTTCACATCGATGTAAAAGATCATCTCTAGTTATTGCAAATGCTTAACGGCAGTTGTTGCCTCCAAGAGTGACACCACCAGATATTAGATTTAGAACGCAATTACTTTTCATGTTGGATCTGGTTGGTCCTGACAGCCGATTTGACTGAAATGCATCATATTTTGAAAACTAAATTATGGATTTTTTGTCTGATATTATTTGTTTGAGCATCTGAAGTACTTAAGTGTGACAAGAAAAAGACAAACCAGTGGTTTAAATACCTTTTCATTGTGCTGTTATTTCAGTCAGATTCAAGCCTTTTTTTAACTATTGTGTGCAGGAGCCAGTAGAAGACTTGGATCCAGGGCAGATTTTGGACCTTCAGACAGACTCTCGCCTGCATATCATTTCTGGTGGAACCAAAGTGGTTCAGCATACTCCTCCTTTAAAGACCAGTGCTGGACTTAAGCGTAAGTGCTAGTGCCTCTGTCTTTCCATTTGTCAACAGGAGTATCTATTAGCATTGGACAGTGTATTTATTTGTACTCTTTTTCATTGTTTGCAGCTGTAGACAATGGTTGTGTGGCCTACGTACTGAGAACAGGATTCTATACGTCTCAGGTAAGGAATATGGATAACTCTTAAATCTTGTGGCAATTTTTTACTCCATTATTAAATCCATTGTTGTCTGTTACTAAACAGTGTGTTGTGACATTGTTCTACAGGGTAAACTGCTAAGGACAATTCTCTTCGGTGTAAAGAGAGTGACGGCAAACAACCTGGAGACTTTTATCTTTATTCTCTTCCTCCTTGTGTTTGCCATTGCTGCTGCTGCATATGTGTGGGTTGAAGGTGAGATGACAACAGTTAGCTCATTAAGATGTATCACAATTTTTTTTGAAAGCCAATA